AGATTCAAGAAATAGGTGGGTAGCATGATAGCACTTGCCTGGTTGGTCAAAGTAAAACGGGAGACAAAGGACACAATCAGAGTTCTGGTTTAGCAAGTAGTTTGAATGACAGAGTGCCTTCCGTGGCGGTGTGGGGAAGGGTGGTGTGGAGGGGGCTGTGGGAGCAGGTCTGGGAGAAGAGAAGATGATTTTATGGTGGAAGAGCTTATCTATGGGACAAGCAAGTGACCATGATGGTATGACGCTGGGAAGGCTGGGCTTGAGAACCTCTGCCCCCTGCTTGGCAGGTGAACACAAGGCAGCAGGCAGGAGAGAGGCTTCCCTGGTGGTTACTCTCTGAGGTTAAAGGAACTGTGGTTTGATATCAGGTTTGAAGCAGATTCTGGGAAAGAAGGCTGACAAAGAAATGGGGTCATCGTCAGGCACGCACCACGGGGATCCTGTGAAGGGTGACACTCTCACCACTCTGCAACATCCCTTAACCTGGAAGCCTTTTCTTTCTTTTTAAAACATCAGCGTATAATCTTTGTGTGCAGCGATTCATTCAATCATATCCCACAATCTGCTTGCCTCTCACTACCTCTCCTCTCCTGTCCCACTTCTCCCTAGTCCCCTTCCTTTTCCTATATGGTCCCCCTTCTACTTCCATGTCTTTATCTTTAGATCTATATTAACAAAAAATCTAGGGCTAGAGAGATGGCTCAGCGGTTAAGAGCACCAGCTGCTCTTGCAGAGGACCTGGGGCTTGTAACACATGCATAAGGACCTGAGTTCAGTCACCAGAACCCATGTAAAAAAGGCAGGCATGATGGTGCAGACGTGGAATACTAGTGCTGGAGAGGCAGAGACAAAAGGATCCCTAGGACTCACTGGCCAGCCAGTCTTCTTGCCTAGTTGGTGAGCTCCAGGCACAAGTGAGAGACCCTGTCTCAAAAACTACAGTGGTGGAGCTGACGAGATGGCTCAGTGATTAAGAGCACTGACTATTCTTTCAGAGGACCTGGGATAAATTCCCAGCACCTACAAGGTGGTTAACAACTGTTGGTAGCTCCAGTTCCAGGGAATCCAACACCCTCTTCTGGCCTCCATGGGCACCTGCACATGGGTACACTTACATGCAGGTAAAACACTCATATACATAAAATTTCTTTTTAATTTAAAAAGATTCACATCTGAGAGAAAATATATTCGTCTGAGTTTGGCATGTATATAACATATACACATTATAATTTTTAATTATGCATATGTGGGGGGTTATGCACATGACTGCTGATGCCCAGAGGCCAGAAATGTTGGATCCCCTGAAGCTAGAGTTACAGGTGGTTGTGAGCTGCCTAATGTGGGTGTTGGGATTGAACTCTATCTACCCTTAACCTCTCTCCATCTCCATGGCTTATATAATACAATGATCCATCCATTTTCCTGCAAATGACAATTTTGTTCTTTGTATGGCCAAATAAACCTCCATTGTGTATGAATCCATTTTCTTTGTTCATCCTCCACTGCTGGACACAGTCTGATTCTGAATCTTGGCTGCTGAGCACAGTGCCACAGTAGATATGGAAGTGCAGGTCTCTCTGTGGTCTGCTTAGATTCTTTCCAGTATACACCCAGGAGTAGTATCAGTGCACATGTGTGCTCACACATACTGCTTGGGTGAGACTGCTGGGCTCAACTGACCATATGGCAGACGTATTTTTAGTTTCTTTAGGCACCTCCTTATGGGTTTTCATAGTGGCTAGTTTACAGTCCCACCAGTGGTTTGTGAGAGTTCTCCTTTCTCACATCCTCATCAGCTTTCGTTGTTGGTTTTCCTAATTACAGCCTTTCTGAGTAGGATGAGATGAAGTCTCATCCTAATTTACTTTTCTGAGGGCTGGAGATGGTAAACATTTTTTCCATATATTTAAAGGCATTTAATCTTTTGAGAACTGTACTTATACATTTGGCCATTTCTTGATTGAATTATTTGGATGGGTTTTTTGTTATTTGATTTTTTGGAGTTCTTTACATAGTATAGATATTTATCCCCTGTCAGAATGGAAAAGATTTTCTCCCATTCTCTAGACTCTTTGATGTTTCTTTTGCAGTACACTTTTGCAGGTAATCAATCCCCTTTGTTAAT